AGCCACTTACATTACCTTGATTGGCAACTAAATAGAGATGCAAACTATACAACTGTAAACTCTAGAAAGTTATAACCCTAAAAGTTGAGCCTTTGCTTTTTTTTAAAAATTGCCTTTCTTAGCCTGTTAGATAAGGGAGAACTGAAGCTTGCATAATTATTATATGCCTTTACTGGCAGTTCATCCCATCCCTTTTTTCCTTTATTATTTAACAGAAATCAAATGTGCGTAATTCCTTCAATGTTAGAAATCTTTTGTTGTGTTAATTGCTGTGTCCTGAACCTACCCTAGTACATTTTTAAAAAGTCCATACAATGATATTCTAGGATTTATATACAGATGCCATTATTCATGTATTAAATAATGTATTTCTGCTAATAAGCAAGTTACAGAAATATATTGCTATGGCATGTTTGATGTATTTTATAATCGTCATATTATAGATTAATATAAATGTAGACATCATTAGAAAAAAGCAATGAATAAATGTTATTAAAAATCAGAGCACTTTTTATTTCAGGATTCACAAACATTTTTTAAAATTAAAAGCATATAAATGAATCTTGATATAAAATGCCCACATAGGCTAATTAAGCAATTCATTGTTAAATTAAGACAAGCATGAAAACACTGTCTAATGCCATATTGATAAATATTAACATTCTTAACAGAAGCCAGGAGCATGTCCCACCACACAATGTTTAAGATTATTTTTAACATGAGTATTCTTCATTTCAAAACTTTACACTTTTGTAATTTGAAAAGAATAGAAGAAATCTATGCAAAATAAATATACAAATATATAACTTTCCTAAAAGTTACCAAATATTGCCACTTTATATAGTACTATAAAACAATGTACAAAATAATTTGTTTAAAATGATGTGGAAATGACTGATGCATGCTTTACTGGATTTTGATATATTCTTTCACATATCCAAGATTCTAGCATCTAATATGGATTCTAGAATGATAATGGCATAAAAGATAATCAGACATGATAAAAAAAATCCAGGTTTGCTGATATTTTTTCATATCTGCAAAATAGGAAGCATTTCAAGTTTTAGGCTCATAGAAAAATGGACCAAGAAAACCTAAAAAGATTTGAATAAGTATAGTTCTCTGCATCTAGTTGAACTAATCTAGGAACTTCAAAAGATGTATTGAATAAACTTGCAGAATCAATTAACAATTGCTATATATGTGAGAAATAAAGTATTGTAGAGCAATTTTTTAATCATTAGCTCAATCTACTGGAGAACTACCTCCGAAGACTATTTAATGATTCCAAAACAGAGAAATGATTAGATGGAGTATTACTAGGTTTGGTACTGGGCTCACGCTCCATATTTTTTCCTAATGACTTGAAAGGGAAATCTTACTAAGCTGTAGATATCGCAAGATTAGATGGAATAATTAAGACGGGGTGGAATGGGGTGGGACTTCGAGTCAATGTTGACTGCTGGTAACTGCCAGGACACGTCCCTGCATTTTTCTTGGCAAGATTTCCAAAATGGTTTGCCATTGCCTTCTTCCAAGGACTTAATGGACATGATTGGCCCAACATTACCCAATTGAATTTGTTCCTACAGTGAGACTAGAACTCAAGTGTCCTGATTTTTAGTCTGGTGCCTTAACCGCTACATCAAATTACCTCTCTAATTAAGACCTAGAAGACAAAGAAAATCCAGAATGATTTTTAATATCCTAGAAAATTAGAAAAGCAGTAAAAACACAATTTCTTATATTTAGAAGAATGAAATCAATTATATTTAGAAAAATGCACAACTATAAGCTTGGAGAATTAGTTTAACAATATGAATCATTAGAGCAGAATATGAATCACAGCATGAAATTGCTGCAAACAAAGTACATATAAATGTTAAAAGCTATGCTTCCTTTTTATCAAGCTATGCTTCCTTTGAATCAAGCTTATGAGTTCATGAATACCTCTCTGAGGCTTTTTTTGGCAACGACACAGAAGTGCTCAACTACTGCTTTCTCCTGAAATTTCCTGAAATTTCATGGTGGTCTCTCACCTAAACATTAATCAGACTCAACCATTAGCTTTTTAAAGTAAGTCAGAATCAACCAGCTGTGTAATTTTCAGGCTCTATTTAAATAAAACAGCTTTCAAACAGAGAAAGCAATATTTTTATTCTACTCTGGTTCAGGTTCTGTACCTTAAGTATTGTGTCCAATTCTAATCATCACATGCTTTTGCATATTAACTATAAGAGGTTCGATGTTAGAACCCTAACCCTTAACAGTTAAAACTGATCAGGGGAAAAGAGAGTAAACCCTATAAAAATAGTAAAGTTTTGCATATAGTTAGATTGGAAACAGAGTAGAGAAGCAATCACAGGTTTAAGTTATAGGTTTCAGTTGAAGCTGTTCAGTTTCATCCGAACAGCTTGAAAAGTCTCTAAATTATAAAAGAGAATTCAGAAATGGAACCCCATATCTAGGTACAGGGTTACCATAACTATAAATGTATTCATGGAGAAACTGGAGATACTCTTCCCACATCCATCCTTTCTTTTCTTCCTTTTCATTGTTCATCTTTCTTGGTCCAGATTAACAAGGAAGTGAAAAGCTACTCTCTTTTCAAGCTGTTTCAAGTTCATAATGCTCCAAATGAGAATTTATTTTGTCCAGTGTTACATTGAAAAAATAAAGCTCTAGGTTTTTTGCCTTTGTTTTCTTCTTATAGCTTAAGTTAAAATATTCAGTAGTATACAAACAAAATAATGATACTGGACATTAGATATTTTTGTTTGACTTTTAGGCATATGAATTCAAGAAAAAACCTAGTGCAGACTAAGGTAAATTAGATCATATGTTTCTTTAGAAATTAGAAGTTCAGAATCCTACAAATTAAGCAAAAAGTATTATAGTCAGAAATAACACAGAACATATATGGCAGAATCTTTTGTTAAATATCAGGAATACCTCATTACATATTGAAGGCATGATATTTATGCACCATAATTAGGCAAAAATCTTCCTAATTTTAAACAGGTTGATTTTTTTATTCAACTGAATTTTACTGTAAAATAATGACTATTTAATAAGATTAAATCCTAAACTTGGGGGCTATTTTCACACAAAAAAAGCCAGTTCTTGTGAGCAAACACTACACTCCTGTAACTCTCATAGTGCAAGTTGGAAACATAAATCAAAAATTGACTATGTGAATTCTGCTTTCTCGTTATTTTCAAATATTAACAGATAATATTTACTTCTCAGTTAAGTATTATCAGGGTCAGAGTGTAAGTTATAAAAGACTTGCAAAAATTGCTAGTAACAAAATTGGATTTGTTGCTTGCTCATGCTGTCCACCTGATGAATACAGTTACCAAAGGGATTCAGATAGTATTGCAGCTGCATCAAACAAATGTATTCCCCAGAATATTTACAGGATATTCTATAATAGTTTATAGAATAAAAGGATGTAAAGAGAATCTGAAAGTTATTTAGACCAGTATACTCAAACAATAGTACTGGGCTCCCTTCCTCAAACAGAAAGAAAAGCAAAGGACAGAGCTGTACATACGATGGGTCAAGGAGAACAAGTGTACTTATGATTCATCATGCAAATTCTCTACCAAAGAAAGAGAGATCTTCTCGTTTCTACTTAAGCATTCTGGGTGAGGGAATTGAACATTTCAACAAAGCATTTTTGAAGTCTAGGAATACAGTACTTTGTGAAAAATTTGGTCTTAATCACCAAAATAAAATAAATAAAATGTTTTGTGCCAGTTAGTTTTCATTATTTGAAGGGCTTAGGAGAAGATTGCTGTCAAAGTCACAAATGTTGCTTCAGGTCTCACTCATTATTTTACTATTGCAGGAAGCAAATTGTGAGTTTAAACTTAATGTAGTGAAAAAAATGTCGTAATAAAATACCAGTAAACAAATACACACATCCTTCTCTGACAACAACAATGGTCTTTTTGTTTTTATCTTGGTTTGAATGAGGTTCTATCACCGAGTTATTGGTGGAAATTAAAATATGCAAAGTTGAAAACCATTGGCAACTACTCATCAGTTGACGACAATGAGTTTACAACATTTCTTTGAAAAAAGTATGGATGAGAGATCCCTCTCTAATCAGTTGTAAAAATATGAAGAATGATACAGACATTCAAACATGCTCAGCATTTCATGGCCTTAATCAGCTAGCACTAATATATTAAGATATGTTTCAAGAATTTGTTTTAACATCTCCTGAAGTGTACTTAAAGGGCAGAAGAAAATCAATGGGTTTATTTGTACGAATTTGAACGTCTCATAGCATGGTATTTTTCATGAGGTTATGCAATATGATGTACATAACCCAAGTAACTAGTCCTTGTATATTAATTACATTAAAAATAAAGTTACTAATGTTCTTCTGTGCTAGAGAAATCCCCTCACTTTCTTTTTGAGTAGAATTTTAAATCAATTGAGGTTTTTTTAAGACAATTAATTCACCAAAATACCATGGAATATGGTTGTAGAAAATAAGATATATTTGGAAAATGTGACAAATATTTTTATTTTTTTTAAAAAGAAAAGGAAGCCAACAAGGAAAGGGGATGACTACCTGGTGATTACTTAGGACCTAGATTTGAAGTTTCAATAGCTGAGCCCTCCCAGCAGTCATGTGACTACACTTCTTACACNTGTTTGTTCATTTATTGTACTTCAAAGTCAACCAACTCCTTGATGAATTTGGGTGGGAAACAACATATCTCTGTGTGGGTTGTTTTTTTTTACAGTTAACATAAAAATAATCACAAGAAAACAAAAACCATAAAGTCTCCACAATCATCCTGTCCCAAGGCCTGGGAGGACAACCATATTTTTTAACAGTTTATGAAAAGTCATTACATACAGATCTCTGTTGGAATGCTATTTCAGTGCTTCACTTTTGCAGTGCTTTCTTTGACTCTTAGCTATATGCCCAAAGCTTGAACAAGAATGTATAAAAGCCACTTAATTGGCCCTAAGCAAACCTTCGTTCATGCTGATCAATTTTTCCATCAGCAGTGGAGAGGCGTTCCGACTCAGGACTATTCACACGGCGGTATCTCAGAGAACGTGCTTGGGTTGTAGGGGAGTCCGGCACTGCTCGCACTGGGGAGATGGGGCACACACCACTTTTCTGATCTTCTTCAGCTAAACACTGCGTCTGAGACAGAAAAGGAGAAACCCCTGAGAATAAGATAAATCCACAAAAATCCACAAGGTAGTGAGCATGATGCAGCCTATCATCTGACAGTGCTAATTAAATATCTGATTTGACACATGCATCAATCCTTGACAGATTATACCTAGGAGAGTATAAGAGTGTAAGAGTGATAGTGAAGTTTTGGCCAAGAAGACATAATCCAATAAAATAACAGAATTTGTGTTAAACATCAAGAGAGACATTGCCGTTTGTAATGTTATCTTTTATATCTTTAGCCCAGTAAAGACATACACCTCATTTGAACGCCAGACAGAGTCAGTTTACATTAAAACATGCTTCCATGTCTAAAATTAGCTATTTTACTTAGGATTATATTGTCTACTCACAAAATCACTATTCTTTGGCAGAAAATGAAAAGATTAGAATACATTCAAAATGGTCAAAAAGCTTTACTTTGCTGATGCTGATCCTGAGTTTGTTGCGATTTACATCAGTCTCTTCCCAAACTTCTCCTTCATTGAAGGGAACATTTGGAGCCTGCCCTAAGTTGTTTTCTGTTGGCCGGACAGATAAAATTGGGGGTGCATTCTCTTGGTCACTCAGGTGTTCTCCTTGCAAAACATCCTCTGTGTTCTCGCGAAGTAAATCTCCAGGTATTGGAGTGATATTAACCACACTAAAGGAGAAATAATGTACAAACCAGATTACAAAACTAAAGCTTTAGAATTATTATTTCTCGCAGTATCACAAAGACCTCACCTGTTCACAGCCAATACTATAGATACTGTATACAAAGCCCACTACAACAGAACATAAAGCTTTAAGCAAATTATCTTATCTCATCTTGAGGTACCACTAAATTCAATGGATGGTTGAAACTTTCCTTTTGCATTTAACTATTGAAAACAGCATATTCTTTATTGGCAGCCTGGAAATCTTATCATAAGGGTTCCATAATATTTACTTAGCATACTGCAGAATTTCTTGTCCTTCAATTTAAAAAAAAAGTACCGTTATCTGTCATTAGGATGGCTATACTATAATGACTGAAGACGGCACTAGCTATGGAAGAAAATTGAATAGCTCTGCTAAAATAAATAAGCATAATAAAATATATTATTTTTCATTTTGATAGGAAAACAGAATTGGGATACCTTTTGCTTATTTTAACTTAAATCTTGAGATGTGGCTTATACAAGGTCAAAAATTTCCACAAACTATATGTCTTGATATAATTCTATATGTATTTTCCCATGAAATAATTGCTATCCACTCCCACAAAGCTCTTTAAATAATATTGGCAGTTTATTTCTTCCTAGTTGTCTTCACCAGATCCACTCAAATAGAAAATATTCACAAACTCAGAGAATCTCCCAAGATCTAAAAATTAGAATGTGATCTGAAGCAGCAAATTTTTATGATGCAAGTAGAGACTTTTTCTATGAGAAGAGCTCTGTCTTTTACTCCTATTCATGACAGGAGGTCAGAAGGTGATATTTTCCTGTCCTTCCTTTAGCTCTCTCCACTCCAGAAAGATGAAGCACACGTAATTGGAGAAACTGCATTTCTGCATTCCCCACCACTGACCATAAACCAAAGCATAAACTAGATAAACATTCTTTGGATTTCTGAAAAACTCTATCCATAAACAGTAGGACATCTTTGAATTCAATCAACTCAAAGATAATCATTTATAGTCAACATGTCGAGCTCATATATAGCATTAATATTACCATAACTGTTTTGGGGAAAGATCTGTAATTACAAGTATATATTGACTGTATATATAATAATTTGTCAGTGCACCAAAAGGCCCTGTAGTGAAATTCTGCAATATTGGTTAAATGTGGTCTGCCACTCACCCAAACATGGCTGCAGTTTGCCTTGTGTTCTGCTGAGGTGGGGTGGATGTACTTGTAGATAATAAAATATCTGTACCAGCTTTCTCCCAGTCAAAGGCCTCATTCTCAGTAATCCCCCTTTCCTTCATGCTATTTTCAAACACAGTCATGATCAGCTAGACAAAAACAAGTTAGAATACTAAAGTTCAAATGTTTATCCACAATCAGAAATAGGAATACAGAAAGTCACTTTATACGAGATGGAGAATGATTTACTTCACAGATTCACAACTTGAGCCCCAGAGCCACAAGTAACTCGCAAATCATTGGATGCATCCTCTAAGCTTCCCCACCCCCCAAAAAAAACCCTGTTCCCAAAGTCTAATTTTTGATTAAATAGAAATTGAAAATCATTATACACTTGACAGAAGAGTAAGCAGCATAACTATATTTTCATTAAACATGAATGTAGATGAAATGGAATTTAGTTTATTCCATAACTGCAACATTATTTGAGTATCCCCAAGTAAAAATCATGAAAACCTATCAACTAAATCAGCTGCAGCTCTCCAGAATAGGCAAAGTATTTCCCAAAACTTAGTTTAATGGGCGTTTTTTGGAATTTTCTTACTGCAAAATTACTGCCTCCTCCTTAAAAGAATTTCCTAATATGTAGGGTTTTTTAAAATTCATCTGATATATTAAAATACATGGCTAAAAACAGGTTAATATCATTATGGGATTATCCACTGATTACAAATAACCTAATTAAGGCAATCAGCATACAACTGAGAGGAAAGATCTGCTTGTAAGTTTGTATTATTATGGTCGGTCACACAATCAGTCAAATGTTTAGATTGGATTTGGCCTTTTTTATCCACCTATTGAGTCCTTCCCAAGGATCTGTGATAGGGAAATGTTTGATGGTGTTAAAGTTATCATTGTAAAATGTAAGCTGTTCCTACTTAAGCTTCCTTTTGCAATTAACTGATATTGATACCAATGTTGTCAAGATGTTGTGGAACTGCAGCCAAAGCATCTATTACTATTGGTACTGCCTTTGCTTTCTTTTGCCATAGTCGTCCTACTTCTGTTTATAGTTCTTTATATTTTGTGATTTTCTCTATTTCTTTCTCTTCTCTTCTGTCTCTAGATATTGCAACATCCAGACTTTTTTGTCTTTATCGACAATTGCAAAGTCTGAGGTAATATTGCAGGTGCTTTTCTGTTTGAATTCTAAAGTCCCAAAGCACTTTAGCTTCTTCATTTTCTATTACTTTGTCCACTTTGTGGTCCCACAAGTTCTTGCTGGTGGGACCACAAATGGCAGACAAATGGTATTTATTGCAGATAGTCCAATGCACTATTGTTGCTACTGTATCATGCCATTATTTGTAGTTAATCTGTGCAATTTTCTCACAGGAGCTATGAAAGTGGTTTTTATATTGTTTAATGTAGTCATATATCACTTCCCATGTCAAATCACTGAAGTAGTTTATAATAGAAACAGCAGCAAAATACATAATAAAGTAATTATAAACCAATAGTAATCCTCTACCCATTTGCAGACAAGTAAGGTAACCAAAGAATCAGTACAGACAACACTGTCAATGTAACTCAAAGTAGGATATTTCAGATTTATGGGAAGAGTAGGGTCAAGTACATCTCTCCTGACACTGCTTGATTTCTAAGTGGCTATGATTGGTTGTCCGTGATACTTTCCTAAATGGTCTTTGTGAGTTAGGAGCGTTATGTTAGAATGATTTTGTTCCTTTCTGCAGGAATTGTCTCAGTAGTATTAGTATCTATACCTGGTTATGTATTCATTATATATGCAGGGTATTTTTGCCTTGCTCTAGAAGTTGCAGTTGGTGCAGAATAATGTTACAAGATTGCTGAGTGAACAGCTGTTCGTGCACATATTGTAGGTTTGAAGCAACTAAACTAGCTCCCAATTATTACTGAGCCATATTGAAAAATTTGATCATGTCTTACAAATCTCTAAACAATTTGGGGCTAGGATAATCTCCACCTTTAGACACCTGTCTGCACACTGAGGGGAAGTCTTGCAATGTATACTGAAAACTAGTGGTTCTTATTAAATCAGTTTCATGTGGGAAATCGAAATTATTAGTTTCTAATTATTTCAAGATAGTAATAAAAACAGGATTTTACCTGATAATCTGGTTTGGTGAAATAATCCAGATTTGCAATGTGATCCAGAAAAAGATGGAACTCAGAAGGCATATGTTTTAGCAGCATTCGATGTTCATATTTCTCCTTAATCATACCAACTTGTTCCTAGAGAGAGTAAGTAAGTAAGTCAGTAAGGCATTTGATAAGATAGACCATAAACTACTACTAGATAAAGTAGAAGAATGTGGGTTAGACAGCATCACCACCAGATGTATTTGTAACTGGCTGACCAACCGCACTCAACATGTAGTCCTCAATGGAACTGCATCTACATGAAGGGAAGTATGCAGTAGACTACCCTAAGGCTCTGTTTTGGGCCCAGTACTCTTCAACATCTTCATCAATGATTTGGATGAGGGAATAAATGGGGAACTCATCAAATTTCAGATGACACCAAGCTGGCAGAAATAGCCAACACCCTATTCCATTTA